TAGACAAAAAAATGTCTTATTCTTTTTAAATATTATATATATATCTAAAAATATGATTAAGCATTTGAAACTATTATATTAAGTTATTAAGTATACCTTAAATTTCTCAGAAGTACCCCTTAGGGTACATATACCACATGTTAAAAACCAATTGTCTACATACTAGCTCAGTATCATTGCAGTACATATGTTTATGCAGTTTTTGTGCTAAAAGTCTATTGAGTTGTTATGTTATAGTAAGAAATAAAAAAAAAGTATTAATGAAAGGAAAAAGCTTACCGCTGCCCACCACCAAGCATCAGGAATGCTGGTAAAATTGGTCCCAGGTATATCATGTTCCACAGAATACATAAGAGCAGAGAATGTAAACACTCCCATAGCAATAAACAAGAATAAGCAACAAACTTGCTGATAGCATTGGCGGATGGTGAAACCAAAGGCTCTGAGCCCTGTGGAATGACGGGCCAGTTTTAATATTCGAAATATGCGCATTAGACAGATAATTTTTAGCACCTTTCCAAACTGTCCCACTTGTTCCATTTTTTCAATATCGTCACGGTGCACATGTATGTCTGCATCTTCTGAGAATTTTTCAAAAACGACTTGAATATAAAATGGCAAAATAGCAATCAGGTCAACAATATTCAGCACTGTTTTCAGGAATCTTTTTATATCTGAAGCCGATAATAATCTCATGGCATATTCTGTGGTGAAAAAAATGACACAGATAGCTTCCACGTGTTCCATATAGGATTTACCATAAAGATTCATGTGCTTTAGTTCCTCTACTGTACTTAGACACATGGTTACAACAGAGACTAAAACAAAAATGCTGGATAGAATGGCTATGATTTTGGCTGGGATGGATGAGTAGGGGTTTTCTACTAGATTCCAAATTTTTTTTCGTAAACCACCAAACCACTTGCCTTCAAAGTACTTTTCATGGTCAAGATAATCAATTTCAGCTTGAAGGTCCCTCTGTATTTTAAGATGCTCATTCATCTCATCCTGATGTTCTTCAAAAAGACTTCTACAACATTTTTGTGTGTAGTTTAAATGAATGCCCCAGTATTCAATTTCCTCAAGAAAGTTAGCTGGGCACAACTCATCCATTATCCATAGAATACCACTGTGGTAGAAATGAAAAATATAACAAAAAACAGTAGGATCCCGATCAAAAAAATATTCATTCCTCTGCACCGAAAAGTCATCACAAAGGTCCAGCCTCTTGATTGGGTCAACACAAGTTGCCATCCTTCCAAGTCTAGTGACAGGGTATCTTGCTGCTGCGTGACAGTCAATCTGGAACTGTTTTCCTCCCACATTGAGGTTGAGAAAGAGGTAATTTGTTTTTGTTGTTGAATGAATAAAGCTGGGTTTTTCTTCATCAGAACTCCTCTCTGGAACAGTGAAGCAACAATTTCCAGTGTATATATCAACTAGACTGTGGGTATGATCACCAATCTTTAGATTAGCACATGGGCTTTTTCGTCTGATACATACACCCTTCATGGTCAAAACCCTTATGAAACAACAAAAATTAATTTTAAATTGGAGAGGAGAATATTGTAGCACGTGAAAGGCTGCTTTCTTTGCATGTCTTAACAACAGTTTTTTTTTTTTTTACATCTAATGTAATCCTTTTCTGGAATAAAAGAGGATAGAAGAGATGATTTAGCAACGGCTGTCGTGGTTAAAAACAGCTTTTCTTTAATAGGATTGCCTAAGTGTCACATAAGTACATCAAGAGCAGGACAGATTAGTTAAATTAACCCAGGAATTGCCAGGCTTCATTTTTACATGAAACAGTCCCACGGTTGGGTAAATCTTTACATTACATTACAAGACTTAATTTACCTTAGCTGTGGCTAAAGATAGGTGAACTATATAAAATCTACCTTGCTAAATGTTTCTCTCACTTTACCTTGTGATTCAGCACACAGAATAAATATCCACAGTAAGTCGCAGATGGTCCCACACTGTTATACTGTTTTTTTGACTTGAATACATACCTAGAAAGAAACTGAGTTATATGATCATTTTGGTGAGGGCATTCCTACAAATTTAGGGTGTCTTACAGGGAACACAAACAAACTAAAGTCTAGTATTTCCAGCCCATTGATTGCTAGATTTGCTCTGCAAGCCACCGTTCCCTAAAGTGGACACCTTTTTCCACTTCTTGCAACATTTGGAAACATTATGTGCGACATTGGCCATACAGTAGATTACAATAATGTGCTAAAAACACTTTTCTAATAAACCTCTGATTTAATTTAGTGCAGGGAAACCCAGTGTCCAGCTCAACAATAGTTTGTTTTTGCTCCCAGTGTTGCTATCACAGTCTCTTAGCAGACCAGCATAGATTGGTTCTCTTGACTAGGATTTAAAGGCATTGTGAAGACAACTTCCTCTAAAAAGGATAACCATACCATTAGCTTAATGAGTCTGAAAAGTCTAGGTGAATGCAATACCTAGACTGATCTTGATAACTTTGGAAGGAAAGACTTGCCCTTTTGTTCTTTTCTTCTCTTAAGGGGTCCAATATTCCAGTAGTTCAGAAAACCCAATAGTACAAATTAAAATCTTTTCTAAACTGGCATTCCCAGGAATTTTGACATGTGAGAAATCTGGAAGACATATAAACACTTTCTACCTTCCCAGTGCTTCTTTCACAATGTAAATTGTTTCTTTTCATTTTGCTTTTTTTTTAAATTTAATTTCCTTTATTCAGTAGCATACTCCAGGACACACCATTGTTCTGGGTATAAGCCCTGCGCCTTAGCGACTTCATACTAGGCAAATCAAAAAGATCCTTCTAGTGGCTATACCTATAGCACATACCAAGTAAGCTAAGGAGTCTCTAGTAGGGAAGAAGGTTACATTTTAAAACAACTGTCTTAACAATGGCAACATGCCCAACATGCAAAAAGCACAGGATATGTGTGGCTTAGCAGAATGCAGCTGGTTTGATCCTCAGTCCTAAACATCTGTAGGACAGCGTGGTTTATATTGGGAAGGCTGGGTTGCCAGGTTGTTGAAGTTAGAAGTGACACTAAACTCAGGAGTTACATATTAAAAATGCATTCAAGTACCCTAAGCAGTGGCTTCTTTACAACAGCGGTTGCCAACCGGTGGTCCACGAGAAAATGTTGGTGGTCCCCGGGCCCCTCTGTTGCCGTGCAGGCTGGGCAGTCATTGAAGCGGCATAGAGGTTTCGGGGCTGCCTCTCACTGACTCACGCAGTGGCTGTCATAAGGAATGCGTGGCTCTCAGTACAGTGTGGACTCTGCAGAGGACGGGGCATCTCGTCAGTACCCGGACTGAGCAGGCTGCGGGACATAGAAAAAGTGGGGAGAAGCCAGGTAATAGTGGCTCAGTGTGGGGGAAGGGGAGGCACGGGGGTGTTTGGGGGCAGTGCTGAAGCTAGGGAAGGGCATGTGCCCCGGGTCAAATTCGATAGTGGGGGAAACAATTAATATTATTACTAGGCAGAACCGCTCCCTCCCTCCCTCCCTCCACCAGCACTGCCACTCCTGCAGGCACACCCGCACCTATGTATGTATCTGTATATATACTGTATGAATATATAGATATATTCTAATATTTTTTGTTTCCTCATATATAAACTGCCCTAAAATACACACACACACAAATATATTTATATATGAGGAAACAAAAAATATGAGTATATATAAAAAAAAATTGTTTTGTTTTTGAATTCATATTAGTGGTCCGCGGGATTTAAATTATGAATTTAGTGGTCCATGAGGTCCAAAAGGTTGGCGACCACTGCTTTACAACACACACACAGGGACATAGGGAACAAAAGTAGCCACCCTCCAGAAGTAAGCACAGTGTCAGCATGAATTCAGAGATGATTGAGGATCTACAGCTGAGTGATACACAAATAGGATACATTTTTGTTAATAGTTAAGGTACTGGAATGCATTATTAAGATTTAACTCCTGAGTTTAGTGTCACTTTAAATTAATCAACTAAACTAAATTAAAGTGACTAATGCCAATACCCTTGCCGTGACATCTAGCAGTACCTATGCATAGCAGTTGCTGTCGCTTTTTTCTTGCTCCCTTCTCCTGTAAACATGTACATTACTTATTTTTTTCTTTAGCTTTCTTCCTGGCTGAAACTATTGTTTCTTTTTACATTGGTTGACATGAGCCAATAGATGTAAAAAAAATTGAAAATGAGGGATGATGTAATTGTATCTAGACACACTATATAAAAATGACTGGGTGAGCCCTGCATGCAGCCCTGGTGAGCCGGCTGCCATTCTCCATTGCTGTATAATCATGGATTGATTCCCCACAGTCACATCAGTCTCTGTACAGAGGAGCTTACACTCTAATGTCCCCCCCCCCACAGTCACATTACCCGCTGGACATGTGCACCGGCAAAACAAAATTTTAGTTTAATCTTGTTTGTTAGCGGTAGTCTGTACGAATGTTTATTTCCGTTTCATGTTCGTATCGTTCGTTTCATTGCAGCAAAGTGACATTAAAAAAAAATTTTTAATTGTCACTTTGCTGCAATGAAAATTCATCCACAAACGAAAATGCGTACAGATGACCGCTAATGAATTTCGTCCGGAAAACAATTTTTTTTCCAAAACGAATCACACATGTCTACTGGACGCAGGGCTTAGTTCACACCATTAGCAGTGCGCTCCGGTCCGATTCTGGCCAGAACGCACTGCCCGCATTGCGGCCGCATTACAGCGGCCAGAACACACTGCATGTGATGTGAACAGGCTTTAAAACGGTGCCAACACGGCTGCAGGAGCAGCCGTATTCTTGGTATAACCACTTCCAGCGGAGCACGTACATTTACATGAATCTGCGGGAAGTGGTTAAAAAAAAAACCACACACAGACATCACACACTCATTAAGAACACACACATAGCTTCATTAATTAACTTCCCTGGCGGTAATGTGGCTCCCTGTCGGTAACGTGGCTGGGGGTTAATTTCCAGTACCATAAGTGGTAACCACAAGCCACACTCGGGAATACAACGTAGCGTTTCTTACCTTATCCGCGATCCCCGCTGTGTCCTCCGGCCGATGCCGACATCCTTCTTCCGGGTTCCGTCCCTTGCGAGCGTCCGCGTCGCAGGGGGACAGAACCGGCGGGAAGTTTAAAAGTTAAAAAACAACAACAAAAACAGATGGAAAAAAATAATAATAATCATACCGCCAGGGAGGTTAAAAAAAAATAAAAATCACACAAACATTAAAAAAACACACAATAAAAAAACACACACACATACACAACTAATAACAATAGTTAATTAAAAAAATGTCCCTCTCCCCTGCTTACCTGTTTTGCAGGAAGGGGGGCTGCATTCCTGGGGTCCAGTGTGGCACTTGGGGATTATCCTGATGGTCGAGTGGAGGATCAATGTGATCTGCATCTCAGGCTGATGCAGACCATAATAATCGCTCCCTGTCTGTCAGTGTAATAGTTAATTAAAAAAATGTCCCTCTCCCCTGCTTACCTGTTTTGCAGGAAGGGGGGCTGCATTCCTGGGGTCCAGTGTGGCACTTGGGGATTATCCTGATGGTCGAGTGTGATCAGTGTGATCTGCATCTCAGGCTGATGCAGACCATACTAATCGCTCCCTGCCTGTCAGTGGCGGCACCACGAGGGAGCCATCAGTATGATCTGCATCAGCAAGAGATGCAGTTCATACTGATTCTCCACTGGACCACCAGGAAATGATTTTCATTTAATATATTGCCGTTTCGGCAATATATTAAATTAAATGTGGGCACTTACTACTACACGCGGCTACTCGTGGTGGCCATCTTTGAAAACCTAATGTGCAGTCAGTCACAGGGGGACACCGGGGACAGTTGCAGGGGGCCCCCGGTGCTGCGGGGGCCTGGCCGCCTCCACCTCCTGCCAGTCACCTGTACGGTCGGCCGATACTTATGTAAGGTTCCCGGGCCCCTCGTGCAGGCCCGGGCCCCTTATTTAACTATCAGCCGCACCCCCCTGACAGCGGCCCTGGCTGTATGATCATGGATTGAGTTACAGTTCTTCATAATGATAAAGAAACAGTCCTAAAATCATTAGTCTGTATTGTTTTAGAATTTTTTTTTTACATATCCCTTGAACCACTTGCTGGCCGGGGTATTAAACCCCCTTCCTGTCCAGGCCATTTTTCAGTATTTAGCTCTGCAGTACTTCGACATTTATTCAGTCATGCAACGCTGTACTGAAATGAATTTTATACAATTTTTGGGGACAGATAGAGCTTTCTTTTGGTGGGATTTAATCACCACTGGGGTTTTTATTTTTTTACTATATAATGAAAAAAGAACCACAAAGTGTGAAAAAAAACCAACCTGTTTTCCCTACTTTATGTTATGGAACATTTATCAGCACCCAAATTTTTGGTAAAATATAAAACACGGGCATCATGTCGGGTAAATAAGAACGACAGGTCACCAGCACTTAGATAATTTAAATAGGTATGTCCTTTTTAATGGAC